CCCCCCCCCCCATATATACGAAAAGAGATTGACTTAAACTTTTCTGGTTATTCTAAGGTGATGGGTCGATCCTCTCCCAATGATAAGCTTCTCCTTGTGCAAGCGTTGAGAAAGAGGGGACACGTAGTTGCTGTAACTGGAGATGGTACAAATGATGCTCCTGCATTACACGAGGTTTGCTACTACCTATAGTCACTATTTTTCAATCATTGTTATGTAAAGTCAGTGACAGGCATCATTAATAAGAATAGTAGTTATTATTCTAAGTAGATCCCTTGCTGCAGGGTGTGAATAAACATGATACAAACTGCTGGGCCCTGAGAAATATCCGTAGTTTCCTAATAAAACAATTTGATCTTGGAATTTTATCCCTGATATCTGTAGTTTCTGGCTTGCTGTTTTCCATTTTATTCTTCAACGTTTTAAATTCTACTCTTTCTGAGTGTAGGCAGATATTGGTCTTGCAATGGGCATTCAGGGGACAGAAGTTGCCAAAGAAAGCTCAGATATTATTATTTTAGATGACAACTTTGCTTCAGTTGTGAAGGTCAGTCTTGTTATTCAAGCTTCTTTTTTATTTTATTTAACTTTTTGTATTGGAAAATACCAGCAGTTATGTGCCTCATTGGTGTAACTAATATAGCCTTTGATACATGGTCCGGTGGGGCCGATCATTGTCGGCTGGATGCAGGTTGTACGGTGGGGCCGATCAGTATATGCAAATATTCAGAAATTCATCCAGTTTCAGCTTACGGTTAATGTTGCAGCACTTATTATCAATGTGGTGGCAGCAATATCCTCCGGTGATGTCCCACTAAATGCTGTGCAGGTTTGTGCACTCTTTCTGTTGGGTGCCATCGAGTATCATCATAAATAACGTGTTGATTGACATGTGTCTACACTTTTGACAGCTTTTGTGGGTTAATCTTATTATGGACACTCTTGGAGCATTAGCGTTGGCAACTGAACCACCAACCAATCACCTCATGGACAGGTCACCAGTTGGTAGAAGGTACACTCTCGTTGTAAATTTCTACAGATATTTGCAGAATAACTCAAGTTTGATGATTTGTTTTTTTTTTTTTTTTTTTTGGAAGAAGATGCCTGACTTTAATTAAGATAATTGATAAGCAACCTTTGATTCTATGCAATACGGCAGTTTACTAATTTGTTGTATGTTTCAGAGAACCTCTTATAACAAATATCATGTGGAGGAATCTGCTAATACAGGTAATTTCTTGTGGCTTGATTTCTATGCTTTTCAAAATTTCTATTTTTGTATGTCATAGCATCTGAAGAAATTTCGTAATCTATTGTGTATCTTCAGGCATTTTATCAAGTCTCTGTGTTGCTTGTCCTCAATTTTCGTGGTCGGAGTTTGCTTCATTTGAACCACTCCAATATAGAAGCTGTCAAAGTGAAGAATACGTTGATTTTCAATGCATTTGTGCTTTGTCAAGTAAGCCCTTTACTAAGTTATAACTAGGCAGATCTTTTATTGGCCGATTTTCATTTGATTCACAATATATTTATCGCTTTTTCCTCCCTTTGTTTTTTGTTTACATTTTGAGATCATTCAAAGATATTTTGGGGCTTGTCTTGTATTCAAAACGTAACCTCTTCATTAAGCGTTCTTATTATGTAAATTTGCTGACTTATATCTGCTCCTTGAATTGCAGATTTTCAACGAGTTTAATGCTCGAAAACCTGATGAGAAGAATATATTCAAAGGAGTCACTAAAAATTACCTCTTTATTGGGATCATTGCAATTACTGTTGTGCTCCAGGTGAGTCTGTCGTTCAACTTTGCTATTATATTTGAGATTAGCAACTTCTTCAAGTTAACATTTTAATGTTTTCTTTTTCGTAGGTGATAATAATCGAGTTTCTTGGAAAATTCACATCCACTGTCAGGCTAAATTGGAAATATTGGATTATTTCGATAATCATTGGTGTTATCAGGTACCTTCATGTCTTAAATTTTATGTTATCGTTTGCTATAATAACGACACGCTACAACACCTGCATAAGTATGCACCTATGCATGGAACACTGAAAAAATCTGAAATTTTGCCCGTTAGCTTTCAGTTTGGTTTCTGGCTAAAACAATATTGACCTTTGTTTTGTCTCAGTTGGCCTCTAGCTCTCCTTGGAAAATTTATACCTGTTCCTGAAACGCCCTTCCATGTGCTGATTATCAGAATGTTCCGTAAACGACGACCTGGGGGTGGTTAACTGTAAATTTCACTGGATTTGCACTGCAGCATTGGCTTTTCTTTTTCAAATTATTATAGGGATAGCAGTTTTTAGGACCTGAGCAACACTGACCTTGACGCCATGATGGAGTATTTTGTGGAAATTGGTTTTTTTGTGCTTCTAAAGAGCAATCGTTCTGAGGGATTGTATAGAGGTTCTTCAGACAAGTCGTTGGCTTGACTAACTTGTGGCTAACCCAATACGTGAATGGTGGGTGGCAAGAGAATCATCTCCTGTCGTATTTTATAAGTTTAAATTTCAGTTCCAGTTTATGTTTGTAACTTTGTGATTTGGGTTTGCTTGTTTATGCTTTGAGGATTGTGTTTGATGTGAAGTACACGGAATGTTACTAAAATTATACAGGCATCCTTTGAGATTATCGTCTTGAATTGGCGTTCTTTTCGTTTTCAGATTGGTGTGGTTTCATGAAAATAGTTATTCACATATTAATTTCTATTCAGATCCAATATGTTGCATCTCTGTGAATACTTCTGATTGTGATTCCCAATGCAATAGACAAAATTGGGAAAAGCGCTCATAGAATTCATAGATGCCTGATATTACTCTATAGTATAGACAGGCAGTAATATATCAACTTATATATTAATGTTCCCTTATTGTCATTATAATTTTTTACAACGTTGAACAGGTTCATTTGCAAGCAATTTGATGATGATAAATGTATAAGTAGTTTCTAAAGGATTGTGAAACTCTTGACATGGCCAATATAAAATCAAATACAAATTGAGCCAAAGTACAATCAAGAGATATATTGAATCAAAATCAAATCACTATTTTTTATTGAATGAAACGAACATTGTCCCAATAAAGGAGCTTGCAAAATGTTACGTCTTCTACCCAGACCTTCGAGATTTAGAGTGTCACATGTCATGTTGCAAAAAAGAAAAGGGTTGGTCCAACAAGAATTCTACCAAGACCTTTGAGATTTAGAGCGCCAGAGCGTTTAGCCGTAGCCTGCGGCTATTAAGTGAGAATTCTCATCCATCTGATGGCTCACTCACTACCTCATGTGAGAATAACGCAATTAGGCGTGAGAATTCTCATCCATCTGATGGCTCACTCACTACCTCATGTGAGAATAACGCAATTGGCCTAATTGGAGTTTTTATCCTCTTTACGAGAAGAACATTCTTAATCCGGCTTATTCTTCCCTGTCATCCAGGGTTAGTGGCTAAAGTCTCTCCCATGGTACGCCAAGGTTAGCGTAAATTACAATGTGTCGCCTTAGGCCTCTCGAGCACCTGAAGTCAATCATCTATTTTGGTATTTTATTGAAAAACAGTAATATTGTTCCTCTGTAATTAAGAATTTCAACTTTTTCAAATGAATGATTTGAAAACCTATTATTTCTAATAATTGATGTAGTGATTTCTAAATGATATTATGCTGATTTTTTCAATACACTATGCGAACGCATTTTTCTCACTTCGGCACACATATAGTATCATAGTATGATATAGTATGATTAGCTTTGCTGATGATATATCTTGAGAGTACTCGACACATAGTACGGCCACAGATTTATTTGTTGGGCTTGTTGAGAATACCCTAGGCCAATACGACTAATGGTCTTTATCAGCCAATGCTAGTTGAATTTCTAAAATTTCTTCATTTAGTTCTCAGAGTTCTAAATTTCTATTAGTATGAGAATAAATTTTAATTAAAAAAGTCCTATTAAAGTTACAACAGAGAAAGGTAATCAGAATCTGTCACCAATCTTATCAATTATTATACATAACCTTTTGTAGTTGTACATGGCTGCACATTCAGGTTTTTGTAAACAGTGTAATCTTTGTTGTATTGTATATTTGATGTTTAGCTAAGTGAGCCTGATCGTTGAAATTTGTCGCCAACCCTTCATTCGATTCGGCCTCCCCCTCGTCTCTTCGTTCATTCCCCTCCCTTTACGTTTCTTCTTGGTAATCGTTTTGAACAGTCCTTGATGCTCTTCTCTACTCCCTCCCATCGGTCTATTAGGTTGAGCTTTATACCTCTCTGTATAGACTTGGATATGTCAACAACAACAAAGCTCATCAACATCTTCCAAGCAATGCCCATTGTCCCACAATTTGGCCACCAATCAAGCATCCATCTGTTTCCCTACTTGATCAACCACCGGTTTAGCTGAACAAAACCAGTTTACTGGCACCCGATTCTCCTAGTACTGCTTGATTTGGTTCAGTCAAACCAATTCGTTCCGCTGGTTCGTCCAAGAACAACCAATTCACCCCTAATATATTTGTACTATACAATGCTTCTATTGCACACAGATCATATTACTGTTTATTCTCTACAGAACGAAGATAAATCCAAGGGCCATTACACAAGATGATGAGAATATGCTTTCGTAGTTATTCGTCCATATGAATACTTCTAGCAGTAAAACAAAAATGCATTCACCTTAAAACCATCATCTCAATAGTTGGCTAGGAGTAACTAATATGGTATACAGCATGGAATAACTTGTGCAAAAGACAGCTTTTCATAATTGGAAGCTGTGGAGTTTCGTCATTTCCAATCCTTCTCACATTTCAATAGCCATCTTCTAAGCCATAATCACCTCTGTTTGGCGCATCCATGCTGTATAGACCAGTTTTTACCAGAGACAGAACCTTGAATACTAAACCACAAAGTACTAAACAAAAGAAAAAATAAGAACCGTTACACTCGTAAATTCTAACGTAGCTCTCACCCAATTATGCTGCAAAACCAGTCTCTCACGGCCCTGTACCACAAGAACCCTAAGAAAAAAACAAGAAAAAGGGGGGACCAGGCGCAAAGATTCAAATGAAAAGCAAAAAGAAAAGAATTTCATTTAAGCTAGAATTCCATGGGGGCATAAATTTCACGTACTCAACTCAATGCATCAGAATCTTCATTCTTTTTCCATGGTTGAGTTCATGGAAATCAATGCGAGAACAAAGCCCGAACTGAAAGGAAGTAATTAAGACAATCATTAAATGACAAAAATCTGTAAGCTTTGGACCTCTGCAACTTCATACCCTCTAACAAAAAACTTCTAAGTACTCTTAGATTTCAATTTCTTCACACGTTTGACAGGCAAGCTTCTTACACCTTTCTTAGCCCTCATTGCAACAGCTCTCCTTTTTGTCCTTTTAGCTGTGGCAGGGAATTCCAAGATAGGACCTGGAGGTATTCCTTTCTTAAGTGCACTTCCCCTTGGAGTAACAGAGGGAGGCAGTCTCAAACTTTCAGGTGGTAAGGGATTATGGGGTTTCCATACCAAGTTATTTTTCATGGAAAACCTTACCTTCTTAACACTCTTCTCTCCACTTTTCACAGCCGTATTTCCTTCAGCGTCTACTTCGCTAGGAAGTACTACATCATGTTTCTGCAGCCCATCAACATTCTTTGCTCTCTTTCTTTTCTTGACCGAGCCATTGGTTGATATTACAGGGCTCACAACATTGTCTCCAAAATCAGCTTCAGAAGCAACCTTCTCAAATTGAATCTGAAGGTTTGATATCACAGATTCATCCAAGGCTATCATATTTCCATCACCAATCTGTTCATTATTAGAATTCTCACCGTTAGAAGCAACTATATTCTCATTGTCCTTATTCACAGTAGTATTTTCAGAAACAAGATCAGAACTACCGTTTGTGGTCTTCTTTGTTTTCTTCTTGCCACTGCCATCAGTGGCCTTTTTATTCTTCTTTTGCTTTTTAAGTGGCTTGTCAGTGGATTCAGCAGTAAGATCAACATCAAGCATGGAAATTTCTGAAGGAGTGGCCTTTTTATGCTTCTTTTTCTTTTTATGTGCCTTATCAGTGGATTCCGCAGTGATATCAACATCAACAGCGGAAATTTCTGAAGGTACCTCTTCTTCACTGGAAACAGGAACTAAAGTAGGCACTTCATCCACGTCTTGTTCTTGAAGATCTGGAAACGAAATCTCAATCCCCGATGAGATAATATCTTTCTCCAACTTCTGATACTCTTCATGCATGGCAAACAGTACCTTTCTATTCCCTTGACAGCAATCAGGTGAAGAACCCAAATCATAAAATGTAGTTGAGAATAAATTTGTCAATGAAATTGAACCCAACACAACCATATCATCATCAGAATCAACATCCTCTCCACATTTTCGACGCTCAAGTAATTGCTTCCCCATTTTAAGAATCACATCAAAAAGATTAGACTTAATTTTTCCCAACAACACTTTATCTGACAGCTTAGCCATGGAATAAATGAATGGCTTGAACAGAATATCAACAACTTCCTTCTGAAGAGGAAGAAACGGCCTAAGTTCCTCAAGAAACACAGAAGCAATTTGGTAATTAACACCACTCCCATAAAACTTATCATCAGTGAAAAAAACCCTTTCTTCCAAAACTTGAACCGAACGACGACATAGTTCCAAATCCCAAGAATGCTTCTTCAACAAAGCAAAAAACTGGTGCAAAAATCTACGAATCAAAAGGTAAAACTTATCTAACCTGAGCGCATCAATGCCGGCCCATTCACGACGCATGGTGAGAAGAAAAACAGAGAAGTATTGAACAGCTAGCGGGAGGTCGAGATGGAGAAGCAGGGAAGCGAGACGATTAATAAGCTCAGATTGAACAGGAGCCTTGTCCGCATGCCAAACACAGTAGAACAAACCCTTCCAAAGCTTCTTCATATCGCCATCGGAGAGGCTCGTTTGAGTCGGAAGCCATGTCTTGATGATTACACGGAGGGTCTTGTCTCGAGTCGCCTTGTTGGAGGACGCCAAAAGCTTGACCAAAGAAACAAAATATTGATCTCCTTCAACCACCTCCTCCATTTTTTTTCCACCAAAAAACCTCGCTCGTTCGTTTTCAGATCAAGAAAGGATGAAGAAATCAGAAGAAAAAATCCTGAATTAGACTGGAAGCCGAACGGCGGCGGTTGCAGATTTTTGCTCGCCTCTGTATAGCGTTAAGAGAACCCTAGAACGTCATTTGGTGGGTTTGACTCGGAGCCGTTCGTATTCCGAGAAAACAAAGCATCTGTTCCATTACAATCTTTTTTATGTTTGTGTTTATCTTAATTTTTTTTTTAATTTTTTTTTATCTTTTAAAATTGTTGAAAATTGTATTATATAAAATTCAAATTTTTATTTAATATTAATCCATTTATATACAAAATTTACGGTTTAAACTAAAAATATATATATATATATATAATATTAATCTTCTCGATTAAAAAATTTACAATAAGAGATTAAATATTTCTTAGTCCAGTTTTATCTTATACAAAATTTATTGTATAGAATACCTACCCTCACTCACATGTCTTCAATGAACGATTTGGATCGAACTATTTGTAATGGTTACAAAGTGGATCGTATGAATATTGTTACCAGAATAAGGCACCCAACATTATCCATATACTGTAAACCATTTAGGTTATTACTCGAACACAATCGTCTTATATGTCAATCGCATAGTGTTCAAGATTACATTAATAATTTTGGATTTTCATATATAATATTAAATTATAAATAAAATATTAAAAATTAAATAATTAATTACAAGGTATAAATTTCAATATCAACCCCTGCTTTATGAACTAACTAACTAAAATATAAAAGTAGCATGAAAAATTATAAAATATACAATAAGCAACCTACTAATAGGTTCTAATCGAATTTGGTAAGTCGATTTATCATGTGCTAGGTCATCGACCTTTTTGGTCTACTAACCTTGGGTTCATAATGTCCGATTTGACTCTTTATTCATACTTTTTCTGCTTGAACTCACTTTGCACAATATTTGAATCCCTTAGGGCATGTATAAACCATTCTAGGTCTCGGGCTTGCTTAGGTTAACCCTACGAAAATGTCATTACCTATGTCACTCGCCCACATGTCAAGTATCTATGAGGTACGACTTTCAATTGCTTCTAGCAATTGAAATGCTAAGATATTATGAGAAACATCGCTCGATATTGGTCAAGTACAAGATATTAGCTGGTGACTCCCTAATAGGCCACATAATGTCATCTCAACTGATAGAGGGGCAACCCTCATACTTGCCTAGCTCCCTCGTGTGGTCGGTCACTCATGTGGATGGGTTTCCACCTAAAGGATTGTTGAGGATCCCATGATTGTATCCACACGAGGTCTCTCAGTGACACACTATATTACAAGGCATGACCTTACTACTCCAACTTTTGAAGATTTACTATGGACGACAACAAACCCCTACTTTTGAGATAGGTTCACTAATAGAAGTTGTTGGCCCCACATCGTCATACAACTCGTGAGGAGTGAGATCCCCATAGCTATTGTCACCAGAAAAACTCTCACCCCTCCATGGAGTGAGTTCACAATTATAAGCGAGTTCACGAGCCCCCAATTACCCCATATAGTAACCTATTGAACTATTGAATACGAGTTGTTTAGACAAGATTAGACTCTTGGTGTAGCCTATGTCTATGGTAACTAGCCTTTATGCCCTTGATGGACCTATTGGAAGATCTCTCCATTTTTAGGGGTCTCAGAGAACCTCCAGATGTCCTAGTCCCATAGGGACTAAAGGGTATTGCCCCGATCAAGTATTGATCTTATGGTCGAAACTACTCATCGCCTTAATGTGCCTTTATGAACCTAATACCGTTTACTAGGCTCAATGTTTTGGAAGTAACAAGTCCTCCTGGGCAACTAGACTTAAGATCAAAGAGCAGTCAGTGAAGTTGCACACGTAGCCTAATTAAGCTTTCTATCCAATTCCGAGGAGTTCGTCTACAATGAAAACTAATAGTAGATAAATACGTATTTATAAGCTAAAACATGCATGATTTCAGACATAAGTTCACTACATGCTCATGCTATTTCGAGTCCGTCTTACATATATACTTGTGCGAAAAATTTGAAATGGCTACTTCGTTGCTACCTCATGTTAGTCATAAATCAAGTAAAAGTAGGAATAACATCAAAATCATATCGAAAAACTAATAAACATAGGTCAAACATAAACATAAGAAAAAGACTCACCCACGTACCTTCATGCATCGACATACGCAACTAATAGTGGTTTCACTCATGACTTTTACGGGTGACACTTCTTATAATATATGAGTTCAACTAGAAAAATTGATTGATTAAAAATTTTAATTAATTAATTAATTGTATGTCATGCACACCACACCAGCTCCACTCAATAGTTTATGGAGTAAACAATGTCCAAAACGCATCTTCAAATAAAAAAAACAATAGAAGAAGGATGAACAAGAATGTTCTTAAAAATTTCGAAAATGGTGAAGAACTCCCTCACTCTGCCTGGGAGACAGACGCAAGAGATACCGTGAATTTGGCTAAATCCGAACTTTGTTCATCTTTTATCCACCACCCATTTGCAGATCACACACTGAAACCTTCCTCACTTTGCTCCTCCAATGGCGTTTTCCTCTCTCCCCAATTATCGCTTTGCCTTCGCCCCCATTTTTTTCCTCCTCTTCCTCTGTTCCTTTATCTTCTTCACCAAACGAAACGCCGACGTTTCCTTCTCTCTCTACCAAGATCTCTCCTCCCAAACCCCATTTACCGTCTCTCTTGCTCCTCCTCCTTTAATAGCCGAACCCCAGATTTCTTTTCCCGATTCCGGGTCTGATTCTTCTGGCATTGAATCCTTAGCGAACCCATCTGCTCAAGAAACTGAGTTTTCTAATGATCAAATTGAGGATCGGCTCTCTGTTAATGGCGAAAATGGCTCGGTTTCTGATGGTGATGTTGCTGTTGGTTCTATGAGGGCTGATGATGGTCCGGATTTGTCAGTGGAGGGGTTGAAGCAATGTGATCTTTACATGGGAAGCTGGGTTAAAGATGAGGAACATTATCCGGTTTATCGAGTGGGTTCTTGCCCCTATGTTGATGAGGCTTATGACTGTGGGAATAATGGGAGAAATGATTCTGAGTATACGAAATGGCGATGGAAGCCTTATGGCTGTGATCTTCCGAGGTATGTGCTTCTATGGTTGTTTTTGTAGATGCGTTTGTGTGGATATATCATTCTTTGCCTGCACAATTTGATGTCGAAATTAGGAACGTATGTTCATTATTTTTTGCTGGACATGTTATTTAGAACACATTTGAAGCAGAGAACATAAGATTTCACCTGTTTTTGGATCACAACACGACATAGCTAAGTACTTAATCATTACCAAATGTGCTGCTAGTAGAACAAAACTTAATTGTCGTTTTCATTCTAATTGTTATTTGTTATTCTTTTTATGAATGGTAGAGAAAGAAAATGAATAATAGTAATAGTAATAAGTGAATTCAGAAAACAAAGCCTACAAAAGGGAGCTGAACTACAAAAAGGGGCTTCAACACCGAACTGAACCGAAGGGGCGATTGTAATGAACCTCTAAGTCTTTTGCAATGATCCTCTAAGGGGGGTTTGCAATCTAGTAAAATAAGACTTAAGAGGATCATTGCAAAAAGACCTCAACACTGAACCGAAGTCGAAAGAGAAACATAGAATCTAACTAGGGACCAAACATCACTAGAAGATCTCTCCCAACCCCTAAAGATTCTATTATTCCTCTCAAAATAGCACACACCCGAACTTGCCACGAAATGAATCCTTTCTCACGGGAAGACAAATGGTGAAGAAGTTCCTCAATCATCTCTAACTCTGAGAGCTGACAAAGTGAAAGTCGAACGTCTAAAAGAACTACTCTAAACAACATCCGCAAAATCACATCTCTAGAGAATATAATGGAGATCCTCTATCGCCCTTCTACAAAGAATACAACAAAGTGACTCAACTTAGATAGACCCCTTACCCATGATCTGATCCATCCATGGTGTTAACTCTTTCGTGCATAACGTGTCACACGAAGGATGTAACCTTCTTGGGAATCTTCACCTTTCGTACAAAGGAAACAATAGAACTATTCAACAGGGAAAAAGTAGCCAAACATCAAAAGAAGAAGCTGAAGGAAAAGCCTTTGGATGGAGGAGGAGTCCAAAGGCGAACATCCACATTATTGAGGCTAACGCAAAAGTACCTGAGGAAAGACAACATAGCGAGAACATTCGTCCTTTCCCTATCGGTCAACAGATGTCGGAACCTCCAACAAGGGAGAGGGAAAGCTCTCGTAATGAGAGGATTGAAGCCACCGATTGATTCCTCAAAGAAGACAACTGATATAACTAGGGAAGCTTGAAGCATGTGTGTCTATCCTTAAACAACCTATCTTCCCAAAGGTAAGTATTCCTCCCATCTTCCACAACACACTAAACAAACTAGGAAAGAAAAGGAAGCTCAGCCAACATAGCCTAGAAGTCCCTCTAACTTCACCAATGATCCATTCAAAAGGATGAGGACCCTACTTGCCAACTATGATGACATTGCATGGAATTTGAAATGCTTCTCATGCTGCAAAATGGAAATTTTGGGACAACATCAGGTGCATCTTCATGTAGCGAATAACTGACTTTGAATGCAACTTTGTGTATTGTGTTGCTTCTAAGAAGCTATTCTAATAGAAAGTCCACTATAGAATTGGGAACATATCAGGCACCTTCTCCTTATTCAAAGTGTGATAGACATAAAACCTACACCTACAATTTTTTTTTCTTAATTAGCAGCACTAAGCTCAATAAGGTGCCTGGTTATGTTGAGTCATTCCAGCAACACACATTTTTCTTACTGGCCTCTTTATTTCATTCTATTGGGTCTGCAGGTAACAATATTAATGGCGATATAGAGTTGATATGCCTTCCATTAGAACTCCTGACCATGAGTTGTGGAGGTGGTATTCTCGTTGGAATGGTAAAGTCGTCCATGTATTGGCCGACCAACTCATTAATTCCTTTGAATACTTCACTACCGAAGTGCATACAACAATACACTTTGTCCTAGGGTCTTCGTGTAGCGTCACATGATTCTTTCCTACCTTCAACCTCATGGTAGGGGTCTTGGAGTTTACTTGTATGCTATGTTCCATAGGAGGAAGTTGTCTATAACCTCCAAAGTTAGGTAATGATAATAGCACTCTCTTGCATAGTCC